CCCTCATCCCCACGGTGCTCACCATCAGCATGCTGGGGTACCCCTTCATATCTGCCGACATGATCGGAGGGAATTTTTTCCCCAATAAGACAAATGGGGCAGTGGAGATCCCCGACCGGGAGCTGTACGTGCGGTGGCTGGAGCTGTCGGCCTTCATGCCCTCCATGCAGTTCTCCATCCCGCCCTGGCTCTACGACAAGGAGGTGGTGGAGATCGCTCAGAAGTTCACGGAGCTCCACGAGTCGCTGGTGGCCCCGCTGCTGCTGGAGCTGGCCGGGGAGGTCACCGACACGGGCGACCCCATCATCCGTCCCATCTGGTGGATCTCGCCCCGCGACGAGGCCACTCACAGGATCGACTCCCAGTTCCTCATTGGGGACACCCTCATGGTGGCACCTGTCCTGGAGATGGGCAAGCAGGAGCGGGATGTCTACCTGCCGGCGGGCAAGTGGCGCAGCTACAAGGGGGAGCTGTTTGAGAAGACCCCAGTGCTGCTCACTGACTATCCCGTTGACCTGGACGAAGTTGCCTATTTCCTCTGGGTGTCCTAACATGGTCCTCATCTGTGTGCAATGGACTCAGTGATTAATTAACCAACAGATTTAGTGACCTGTGAATTGGTATAGTTTTTTACATAGAAACACTTCATTATGAAATTTGAAGAAAACACTGAGACTTCTGTTTTTTTATGGAGCAAGTGGTGCTCCATAACTAATTAATATATATTGGATGAGTGTCTTTGTTATTGCAGTGTGACAAGTGCAATGTATAGAAACACAGTCTCTGCTCATAATCTTTTCCCACCAAGAAATGCCATGCACGCTTCTTGTTTATAAAGGAAATTACATGGACTCCTTTGTTACCCAGTTGCACAGCTGATCCCCTGAGTTATTTAAAATTTCATGTGCTTAGTGAAGGAGGCAGCTGCAGCAAATTACTTTTTTTTTTACAAAAAGCAGTCTGTGGTTATCCTGAAGAGGAAGGCACCCAAACTGCAGCCTGCACAACAGATGGGAACTGATGCAGGCGTGAAGAGGAGTTTACACTTCCCATGGCCATCTGAGTAAGGAGAAGAAAGCTGCAGCACTTGCTGTATGCTGTGGCAACTGTTTTCCCCCTTTCATAAATTATTGAGAATCATGTCCATGGTGTGGATTCAGGTAAGCCTGTAAATGTGGTGAAATCTCATGGTAGTAAAGATTAATACATAGTACCAAGTCAGGGTTTAGACTTGATAGTGCTCCCATATGTGTTTTGGGACCATGTTTACAGCCAAAGGGTGCAATCTGTCAGGTCCCAGGGCCTGACTTGGCCTCCTCAGAGAGTTCAGACAATTAACAAACCAGCCTGAGTGCCCTGCTGCCTCAGTTTCCCCATTGAAAATGTTCTCCCACCCTGTGCTAATGGAGATCCCTTTCCATGAGCCGGTATTCTGCCCACACAGGTGACTTCTCCTGAGTGAAGGTGTGTCAGCAGCTCCTGAAGGCTTGTAGTAGGCAGGCTGTGAAATGCTCTCCACTCTTGGTCCAACCTTCCCTGCTGTTTTTAAACAAACAAAAGCTTAAAGGTGACACATCTGAGCAGTTTGGGAGAGCCCAAGAGTCTCTGGGATGCAATGTGCCTTCCCAAAATGAGAGACAGATCCCTTTGCTGACCCCAGCACACTGCTTGTAGGTAACTGGGAGGTAAAGCTCTTGTGTGGCCCCAGGACAGGAGAAAGCTCCCTTCTTTAGGGGTTTGTCCCAGAGCTGATCCATACAAAAGGTAAACAGGGGCTGGAGAACATCGCACTCACTCCAGGGCTGGTTTGGTGTCCAGGTGAAGCAGCCCCAAAACTGGCTCAGACTCCTGTTACCCATCAGGGGGTCTGTTGTACCGAGAGGACTCTGTGTGGGCACAGTGGCACAAGAGCAATGCCAGATGTTCTGGATGAGCCAGAACATCTTCTAGATGCCCCTGAAAGCAGCTGAAGCTGCAGTAATGCTATTGCTGGTGTGGCTGAGGGGAGGGACAACCCCACTTTAGTCCAGGGATGTGAAAGGGAAGGCAATGCTCATCAGTCTGCCAGTTGTGTTCAGAGTTAACAGGATATCTCTGAATCCTTACCGTAGGCTTTCTTCTATTCCAGCATAGTAGTTTCCAAGGAACGCATCTCCCCCGAGGTTGAGAAAGTGTTTCTGAATGCTACTCTGTTGCTGCTTTGAAGCCCCAAGGAGTCCCTGACATATGAGCTTGGGGGAACCAGAGGGTCCTGGAGGGGCCCAGCAAGATTCCTCTGGCTGTTGTTGCTGCACCAAAAAAAAAAAGCTTTCTGCAAAGCTGATGCCCTCGATGCTGAGGAGAGGTGGGAGAGCCAGACTCCAGCCCCCTCATATGGCACCTCTGCCTGTGTAATCAGTGTGTTCTGTATGCACACACAGCTCTGCCACCCACCTGCATCACAGACTGGGTGGAAAAAATAGGCATCACTTTCTGCAAACTCTGGAGATAACATGAGATGCGTGGTACCATGGCTGCAAAAATGCCTCCCCCATCCCTTTCCAATCTTTACACCAGTGCTTTTCCCTGCTGCCCACCCAAGCCACAGGGAACCATGGGGGATGGGTGCTGGAAGCATCCTGTGAGCAGGTGGCACCGCAGCCACCTCTCGACACCCTCCTGCAGCACCAGGGCTGTGTGCTGACAGAGGAACATCTTGTTTGCCTTGCTAAGCTTCAGTCCTGATTGGTTTATTGCACTCCCAGTGCTGAGCAAGAGCTCTTTGCTGGAGGTGCTGGTGGCATGGGACTCTGCCCCAGCACACAGCTCACCCCAGTCTGCTTATTTTTTGGCAGGGGCAGTTTATTGCCCTTAATCTTTGATGATCACTGAGATAAAAACCACCTAGCCCTCCTGGCAACATAATAAAAGAAATAAAAATCTCTGGTTTTCTCTACTTGGCCTCTGGGATGTTGCATCAGCCCAGACCATCTTTTATGACTCTCCTGGCACAAGGCATCTACAGGCTGGCAGCTCCCACCAGGCTCCGGACGAGCTGAGACTGAGGAGGTTGTTTTTTTCCTGAGCTGCCAGCCTGGCCACATGCCCTAAAGGTCTCTGCTGCCGTCAGTTTCTCCTTTTACCACGGTCCTCCCTAGCCCTGGGGTCTGCCTGCATGTTGTTTTTTTCTTACTTTCAATAAAAGCTGTTATTTTGAGCAGCATGGACATGCTCACAGCTAGGATCTCATGGGTTAGCACCCACTGCTCTACTGTCACCATAGGCACCTCCTTGAAATCCAGTTATGACCTGGGCTTTTGCTTTAGCCTTGGTGGTGTTTCGACTTTGCCATAAGCACTCCCCCCTGTGCAATACTCAGCTGTGGATGTGTTTTCAAGCACTGCCATTTTAGCTGGGACTCAGCACAGAGCTGTCCCCGCTTGCCATCCCCATATCCCCGACAAACCTCAGACACCCTCTCTACACACAGCACCAGCTTTTGGGAGGATGCAAACCAAACCTAAACCTAAAGCACTGATTCCAAGGAGGACTCTGCATTATTGAGGATCTGCTGCAAGCCTGTGACTGCTGCAAGTTGCCAAGGTCTTCAGCAGGGCCAGCTTCACCCTCCATGTAATCATCAGCCAAGTGTATGGATGCCACTCGCATCCAAGGAAGAAGTTAAAGGAACAGCAATGGGAAAATGTCTTTTATTGCAAAAGGAGTGAACTGAAGTTCCTCTCATTTCTTAAACCATGCTGAATGTGTTGGCCAGGGCTACTGATGCCTGATGGCACAAGGCAGCTGTGGTTTGTGCAGTTAACAATGGAAAGGGAAGGAAAAACATTATGTGGGGCAAAGGGGGATGGTGTGGGGCAAGGCAGGCTCCTAAATGAGCTTCATGTGCTCCATTCCTGGGACTTTCACAGCCACAAATATCTACTCCATCCCCGTCCTTGCTGTCAGTGCCATCTGGAAAAGGGAACCCTGGGCAGTGGGGACAGCCAGGGCCCAGAAGGACCTTCTGGAGTGCCCGAGGGGAGCTGAGGGCAGGCTCCTCTTCTTCATTTCCTGCAAACAGTCCCAAAGTATGTGTCCTCTGAGAACAGTGTGGACTAGTAAACCCCCCCGAGTCAGTGTTGATTAGCCTTTTTTTTGGGTGGATATCAGTAAAAATGGGCATGACAGTATGGGTCCCACCCCTGGGGTTGACACAACATTGGGGTTTGCCCAGACATGGTCTTTTCCAGGCCACCCCTAAGGCACAGCTATTTTCCTTGCTGTCAGGACCTAAGAGAGGGCAATCCTTGATCCAGTGTGATTGTCTGCCACCACTGCAAACACAACAGTGGGGTGACTGCCAGCTCCTCCTTTTAAAACATACACCAAAGCTGCAGGCTGCCAGCTTTAATTAAAACAACAAAATCTCAACTGTGATTTCAGTGACAATAAGGGTAAAAAAAGCCCCAGGTACCCCTGAACCACCAGCTGAAGCAACTTGGTCAAGATAAACATAGTTAAACTTCTTTTTGTTTTCCAAAATTTTATCTCAATCAGGGTGATTCATGTTACAGTTCATACCAATTAAGAATTACAAAAGTGGTTAAAAACAGACCCACCAGCATTACAGTCTGACGTAGGACAGCATGTGCAAACACAAGCACCCAGGAAACCTGATACACAACAGCGCAAGCTTCAAACTTCCATCACATGAGCATCACATGTGGAAAGGCTGAATCCAACTCCCAAACCTGTTTTGGGGCTTTTCCATTGCTGAGACAAGCTAATTCTTGCTTTGGCCAGTGACTCATGGTGTAAATCAGAGAAATCCCCCTACCAGCAGTTCTCAAGGTGTCTGTGCAGAGCTTGTGGTCTACAAGGTCCGAGAGATCCTCAAGTCCTGCAGTGCTACAGCACAGTGTTAGAAGTAGTGGTTTTGGTAAAAAGTTGGATGGAAAGGGCACCTAGAAGCCTGAGACGCCTTAAGGCAGCACTGCTGAGTCTATTCCCAACACCAGCCCTTACATCCTCTCAGCAGCTTTATCCTTCCTCTTGCTGGAGTCCTGAATAGCCATACAGCATTTAGAAAAAAAAGGGTACTGTATAATCTTACCCATTTATGATAGAGTTAAATAAAAAGAAAACTAAAACTTTGTTAATAAAAGCCTTTCTTTTGAGGGGAGGGGAAAGAAGACAGTGTGTCTAATGGAGAATTTCCTCCCTGACTTCCCTGACAGTGCCTGATACCACTGAAAGGAGATTGAAGGCACTCATCTGGCTGCTCCCATCATTTTAATAGCAGAGGGATGCTAAGAGGAACTCTGTGTTTCTCTTCACACAGTCTCATCCCTTACTAGTGAGGGATGTGGTGAGTGGCACAGAAACGGGGGAAGAGAAGACATGCAATATCTCCTGGGATCCTTCCCATGAAGTCCTATGCCAAGGATCCCACTTCTACATTGGCAGCTGAGCTGTGCAGCAACACCCCCTCCACCTAATGACTCCCATACCAAGGGATGACAAGTATTTCAGGTTGAAAGGGAAGAGCTGGAGCCTATCAAGGCATGACCTTTATGAATTTCTGGAGGTGTCTCCGCACCCTGTCCTCCCTGTAGGCTTTGGCCAGACTCATCTCCAGGAGATCCTTACCTTCACCTCCACCCTCCAAGCAAGGCCCAAGTCCTGCTAGTGCCCTGATGAATGATGCTGAGATTCCAGAATTAACTCCTTGCCAGAAGGAATCTGTAATTGGTGCTGTAATCATTCTTCATACTGGTGGTGAGGAACAAGCTTGAGTGCTTCAGAATTACAAGCCTGAGAAATAGGCTTTGGAACATACTTGTGCTCCAGCTGGGCAAGGACCTATAAGGTTCCCCTTACATCTCATTTTGAGGCTGAAACACCAAATTATGCAGGGCAGATTCAGATCTTAAGGGATGTTCCAAAGAGTCCTTCAAACCAGACTTCCTCCCTTCCTAACTATAAAACTGGATTCAGATTTTGCCCCTAACACCTAAATTTCTCCTCCTGGATTCCACCACAGCCCCCAGGTTTAGTGCATCTTTTTCTGCCTCCTGTAAAGCCCAGTGGTAGGAGACGTACTTTGAGAAAGATCCTCACTGGTACTCAACCCAAAACATGAACCATCTCCCTCAGTGGCAGACTCATGCTGGACCTATGCTCAGCCCAGATACAATCCTAGGAGAAGCCCCAAGGATACTGAGCTGTCCTTGGCTGGTGCCCCAACCCTTCCCAGCCATTGTAGTTCAATTGCTTCTGCGGAAGCTCATTAAAAATTCAGGGGCTGACACGCGTTCCCAAACCAGGGCACAGCCAGGAATGTCCTTCCTTAGGGAGGAAGGCTGCCAGACTTCAGTCCTGCTTGCTCTGTCTCGAGTCTCCGTAAATGCATCTTTCTGTATAAAAGCAAATGGGGAATCTGTGAAAGAGTCATCTCTGCAGCTGCAGGGGACTTTGGGTGCAGGATCACATCACCCCATGTCCCCTCCAGAAGCCTCTGACAGCAATCCCACCTCCAGCTGCCTGACGAAGACCCTTAGGATCCTTAGGACTCTCCCAGAGAGAGAAGAGGGCTGACTCAGAAAAACCCTCACCCAAGTCATCACCTCTAACCGCGACCTGAGGCGGGTATTGGTTTAATTTCACCTCAGATGAGAACGTTTCCGTGGGCGCAGTGAGAACACCCGCTGGCACAGACCCATCAGTCCAGAAAGCCGGTGTTTTCCACCCACGGGCAAGTTGGCTAGCAGCAAACCTCCCGCCGATCCCAGACACGTGCTGCTCGCGGGAACCGGCTGTTCCTGGGGACGCGCCACACTTAGTGCTTGAGAGCGGCTTTGCTCCAGGCAGTCCTTCTGCCAGCAACAAACCTCATCTGTCCTTAAAAACCAAAAAAGGATGGCATCAGCAGGATAATCACGTAACAAAGCGGTTTCATAAATGTTTAAAAAAGACTAATGGGATGCGCTGGTATGGGCAGCGCCGCTCTAGGAAAGGCAATGTTGATGCCCAGGGCAAAATGCAAAGGCAAGAGCCTTGTACAGGGTGTCAAATGGGCGAGGAGGTGGGATGCAGCTGTCCCAGCGGGCAATAAGCATCCCATAAAATTAAAACACATCGAGTAACCTGGCCTGCTTGGTAGCCAGGAAAGCAGGAGCACAGGGCAACTGTTAGTCCAGTGCCATGCTAGACAAAAGGGGTAAAAAAATATGTGTATATGTATATATATATATATATATATATATTTTGCTTTCTGTTTTTAAAAATATCCTTTTGAATATATTTGCCATAATTTAAAACTTATGGCAGGCTGTGCTGCAGCAACCCTCTCACACTACACACCCTCATACCCACTGCCAGGTGTTCCCACAGAACTAGAAACGCTACCACTGGCACTAACCAACCTCCACATCTTGAAATCCTTGGGAACTGAAAAGGTGTTGGGTTTACTAAGTGTCTGCAGACAGACTGACAACTTCTTATTGATCTATAGAGAGAAATTTGGTGCCTACTGTTACCCAATCAGAGTTTCCCAACTGACCCAAATTAAAAAAAACAAGATCAATCCCCAAATAAAAAAAAAATTATCCCCAAGAACAGTGAAGTCTATATAATTCCCCTCCTCCACCCCAGTCTCAAATGAAATGTGCAATTAGAATTATTATCTGTTAGAAAGTCCTAGGTAAGGCATGGTTATTCCAAAGCTGGGGAAGAAGCCTGTTAGGACACCCAGAGGAAATAGGCAACTTCGTCCAGGTCAACGGGATAGTCAGTGAGCAGCACTGGGGTCTTCTCAAACAGCTCCCCCTTGTAGCTGCGCCACTTGCCCGCCGGCAGGTAGACATCCCGCTCCTGCTTGCCCATCTCCAGGACAGGTGCCACCATGAGGGTGTCCCCAATGAGGAACTGGGAGTCGATCCTGTGAGTGGCCTCGTC